CAGACCTCCAAAGATTGAAACCACCACCATCACCGCCATCACCACCGACGACAACGACGACGACGACAACAAGGTGAGACCACAAGCCCAGTTCACAAGGAACAAGACGGGACAGAGACAAACGAGAGGAGAGAGGAAACACACGGGTCAACATGGCTACCCCAGCCGCACCCCCCTCGGCAGCGGGCGCCTTCCCGCTCCCCACCATCCTCACGCATCCGTCCTCGACCGACCCCACGCTCATCGCCCAAGGCGCGGAAGGCCGACTCTACAAGACAACATATCTCTCTCCAGACACCCCCTGCGCACTGAAATATCGACCCGCGAAGCCGTGGCGGCACCCGACGCTCGACCAGCGCCTGACCCGCCACCGCATCCTGTCCGAGGCACGCATCCTCGTGCGCTGCCGTCGCGAGGGGGTGCGCGTGCCCGCCGTGTACGGCCTCGACGAGGCGGCCGGGTGGCTCATGCTAGAGTGGGTATCCGGTCTGCCTGTGCGGGCGCGCATAAACGAGGCACTCGGCGCACGGGCCGGCGGCGCCGACGGCGTCGAGCGGGAGAGCGTCGAGGATAACGAGGCGCTGCGCGGACTGATGCGTCGCATCGGCGCCGCCGTCGGTCACATGCATCGCGTCGGCGTCGTCCACGGAGACCTGACTACTAGCAACATGATGCTCAGCCCGACGGGGGCAGAGACGGGGAGCGGTGCCGGCGGTGCTCCCCTAGACGGCGACATCGTCATCATCGATCTCGGCCTGGCCAGCGGGAGCACCCTCCCCGAGGACCGCGCAGTGGACCTGTACGTCCTCGAACGGGCCTTTGCAAGCACCCACCCCCGCGCAGAGTGCATCTTCCCCGACGTCTTGGAAGCGTACAAGGAGTCCTTCCCGCAGGCCCCGGCAGTGATTAAGAGGTTGGAGGACGTCAGGATGAGGGGCAGGAAACGGAGTATGCTGGGGTAATCTGCATTGTATAAAATCAGAGACAAAAAAATAGATGGTCTAGCAGACGGAGCAAAGATGAAAATATAAGAATAAAAATGAGAGCACATCAACCTTGCTCTTTCTGCTCTCATCCTTCCTCCCTGGTCCAGTATATGCAAGAACTGTGCGTGTGTGTGTGTGTGTGTGTGTGTGTGTGTGTGTGTGTGGGGGGGGGGAGGGGGTAATGATGATGCTGTTCGCTAAACATAATCCAACGCATAACATGCTCCAATCAAGATTCCTCTCTTTCTTTCTTTCTCTCTCTCCTCTTTTTTTTTTTTTTGCTCTCTTTTTTTTTAAAAAAAAATCTTTCCTCTTTAAATGTACGATGATGCGCATGATATCGTGCGGCAAAACTCCATCTTCCTGTCGGAGACGAGACATCTCCCCCTCCTTTCAGTCCCTGAGCTCTGCTCCGGCAAAGTATCCCTTGTTCTCGATGACACCCCTGTCGCGCACAAAGGCCAGATACCTAACCACCCACCTGGGCACGACGTCGCCGTGCAGCCCGGGGCTGGAGGCATCGGCCTGGTCGGCCAGGACTCCGGCGCCTCCGGCGGACGTCGGCCCCAAGAGCTCTCGCAGCGTCCCGCGAGGCAGGATATCGGTGCAGTCGGAGTGGACATTGAGCTCGATCCCCTTGTCCTCCGCGAGCTTCTTCAGCGGGGGCGGCACGTTGCAGCAGTTGGTCAGGTTGACCTGGTCGACGGCGGGTCGGACGTCTGTGCGGGCTATGAAGTCGGTGAGCTTCTGGCTGCCGAACTCGGAGACGCCGAGCCTCCTGACCAGGCCACGCGCGTGCAGCCCCTCGAGGATGCGCCACGTCGCGACCTCGTCGTCCAGGTTTCCCTGCTGCGCGTTGCGCTCATCGGCCTCCCACTCGCAGTCGCCCTCGAAGGACATGCCTGGGAACGAGACGACCAGCAGGTCGATCGTCGAGATGCCCAGCTCCCGACGCACGAGGTCCAGGGCTTCCCCGATGAGCGTCTCGCGCTGGGATGCGTCCGTGCCGGGGAGGAGGAAGAGCTTGACGGTGATTTCGTACTGGCCCGCCTCGTCGCGGAGTCCGGCTCCGCGCCAGTCCACGCGCGGTATGAAGAGGCTGTCGCCCGTCTGCTCCGTCCACGCCGTCACCGGCGTGGCGGTGCCGTTCCCGTCGCCGTTGCCGTTGGTCGCCGGGGGGGCGTAGTCGATCTGCGCGGCTGCGAAGTTGTCGCGCAGAGAGTGCAGGAGCTCGTGGTTGGATCGGCTCCCGCTGCCGCGCTTGCGGATGAAGGCCGGGCCCGCGGACATGACGTTGCTACGAGGGAGCTGTCAGCGATACGCTCTCCTTCTCTCCTCACCCCTTCATCTCTGCCCACGCGCAGCGCGCGCAATGGGGGCCGGTAGTCTCGCGGTCTTTTCCCCTATGGAGGGGTAGTGGAGGAGGGGTCGGTTGACATACCCCGTAGATAGCACGAGCTTCGTCATGGCGGCGGTCTGCTTTTTTTCCTTTATCTCTGCTGACCCTCCTTCTCTGTGATGTGGGTGTGCGTACCAGGAGAGGAGAGTACTTTCTGCTATCTATCTCTCTCCTGCTGGATTGAAGGTTGGATGTAAAATCAAGGGCGTTCGCTGGCGAAGATGGTGGTAGAGATGAGATGACTAATTATCCCACACAAGTCGCTTGTTCATCCTATTTGTGTCCTGGGTGGGATCAGGCATTAGCCTCGTGCGGCCAGATATGGTGAGAAGTAGGTGAATTGTATGGATGGATCTTTATAGGCGACGTAAAAGGATGGAAATAAAAATAAAAGGTCGGGATGTTTGACCACGAGGAAAAATTCAAGGATAAGAAGAGGAAAACTGAGTTGGTGCCTAGCTACGCCACCGGAGTGGTTGAGTTGACGCGGAAGAGAAAGGATGGTAAGCAATTGATTGCGCTGCACTAAAAAGACGGATTTGCACTGGAATAGCAACAAAAAGCTCCGCTCAGGGAAAAAAAAAAAAAAAAAAAAAGGCGTGGAAAAGCCGTCAAGGACCATGTATTTGTAATTCGACGCACCTCCCCTCTTCCGGATCGAAGCGCTTTTTTTTCTTTTTTTCTTTTCTTCTCTCTCATTAATTAACTCATTATATTAATAGTATATGATCAATGAATGCATGTAGCCTGTAGGTGAATCAGCAACAGTTTTTTCCTTTGTCTGTACAGGGTAGAATCGGACGTATTTTTTTTTTTTATCTCCCCCCTTCTTTCACGCTGCTAGGAGGGGAAGAGGAGGCTAATGGGCTGATGAGAGGAGTGGAGAGAGCACACCCTACAGCGAGTGGGTGGTGTATTATGTGTCCCTAGCAGCTCCTCCTTGCTCCCTGAGGTCTGAGGTTCTAAACAGCTGCGTCTCGTCACCAACCCAAGCAAAATTACCTTGGTCAAACCAAGCAGTCTTTCCCCCTTCCCCCCCGCGACTTTTCGAATCCCCTCCACTATCCCACCCACGCACCCCGTCGAGAACAGAAACAGCACACCCGGACTTCGCTGGCAAGGGTGCTGCTCGATCGAGGACAAGATGGCTATCCAGTACGCCGCCGTTACCCCCCCCCCTCTGCCGAAATGCGCGGCCACTGATATCAGGCCTCGCAGATACCTGATTCTCCTATCCCGCCAGGGCAAGGTGGTGCGTACACACCGAGATCCGTCTTCCTCACGAGCGTCTGTGCGTCACGGAAGAAATGCTGACCTGATCTGCCTCGATCCAGCGCCTCGCCAAGTGGTTCACCACCCTTTCGCCCAAGGACAAGGCCAAGATCGTCAAGGACGTTTCACAGCTGGTCCTCGCCCGCCGAACACGCATGTGCAACTTTATCGAGTACAAAGGTCAGTGACGAAGCTTTCCGGAAGCGAAACCATGGTCGAGCTTCCAGGAAGCACAAGAGGAGAAGCAAGGGGGGGAGAAGGCTCACACGTTCCTCCGCAGACACCAAAATCGTCTACCGTCGATACGCCTCGCTCTTCTTCATCGCCGGCTGCGCTTCCGAGGACAACGAGCTCATCACGCTCGAGATCATTCACCGATACGTCGAGCAGATGGACAAGTACTACGGCAATGTGTGTGAACTCGACATCATCTTCTCCTTCACAAAGGCCTACTACATGCTCGACGAGCTCCTGCTGGCCGGCGAGCTGCAGGAGAGCAGCAAGAAGAATGTGCTACGCTGCATAGGGCAACAAGACTCGCTCGAAGATATGGAGGTAAGCGGCTGAACCGAGCGTTTCCTCCCCTCCTCTCCGTCCAATTCATGGCGCCCCTCCCCCTTGCCGCAAATCCCCGCGAGAGCACACGTGCCTTGCTCGGCCCCTTCCTTGCCCGGCGAGACTCCCTGGTGCTGACGTGAGGGTGATTTACCGTCACAAAAGGTCGAGGACGAGGTGACGAAGCTCATGTAATGGCGCCCCGCGCCGTCATGCACCGATCTCATCTCCGACAGGTCTAGAGGAGTCGTCGGGCCTGGCCGGTCGGAGGACATGCCGCATAGCTGAGGGGGGTCATGTGCGGTCAGGGCGGGTTGCTGGCTGCCGGCGCGTCCCTACCTGAGGACGCATGCTCCTACCATCTTGCCGAGCCCCTCTCTCCCAACCCCTACAGACGAACCCACGCTGGATGTTCTCTACGAGGCTACGGGCGAGCACAGATTATTGACCACAACGGTTGCAACACAGTCAGATGAGGTGTTGCATCGTCTGAAGGAAGAGGGAATCGTCTGGTAACAGAAACAACGATTTCCAGGAACAGGGCGGCAGCAGACGAGAAGTATGATAGGACGGACGACAAATGATATTCAGCCGGTTTCTTTTCTTTCTTTTTTGGTTCACACGCAGGGGACTGGGATGGACCTCGCATCTGTGCGCGTCACGATGGTGGGGAACCGGCCTGACAGCGACGGGCGTCTGGTGTTATTCGAAGAGGAATGGAGAACAGTCTGTAGATCTTGGAGGTGGATCACCACCCTCTTTTATATCAAGATACTCACTTTCACAATGCTCCAAACAAGAAACTACTACCGTGTTCCCATGTCTAGGGGTTCATACTGCCATGCATGCCCGCAGCACCTCTGGACTGGCAAGGCAGAGGGTCAAGACCGAGGTTGGCAGCAGCTGCTACGAACCTACGTCGTTGACACGCGCACCACGCGCACCGTCGAGGAGCGAAGCGAACGGATGAACGGACGAGCGGGTTGGTGTCATGCGACGAGACGAGACAAGAGTAATGTGTTGGAGAGTTGCCACAGCATCATGGTGACGGCATTAGCCCGAGAGACAATGTCGAGCGACAGCAGCGACGCCCGACAACGCGTGCCGATTACGGGAACCGCAATTCGTCGTTGGGCTGGCGGAGACCGGCCAGAGACGAGAAGCGACGAGGACACGAGGAAACACAAAGGGGCGGGGGGGGGGGGCCACTAGAGGAATTCCGAACGGCGAGGGAAGGAGAATTGAAGAGGCCAATCCGAATGCCACGCTACGCTGTGCGTCACGCCCAATGGTGCACCTGAACAAGTGGAGCGGTGGGGAGAGCCAGCTGGCCTCGAATGCGGCCGGATGATGAGCCAGCTAGACAGCACCGTTGCCATCATACGGGCTCAGTATCATCCCTCCTGGCGTCCTTGAAAGACTCTGTGTATCCAAACAGCGATTAGGGAGGGGAGATGGGAGGAGAAAGAAAGAAAGAAGAGAGAGAAAGAAGGAGGGATGGGCCATTGGAACTCTGTTTTACTCTTCCGTCACAAGATTAGAGTTGCAGAAGGTCAATCCCCTAACTCTCCTCTGTCTTCTTCCCTTCCTGCGCCCCCTCCCTCCCCACCAAATCTCACCGCCGCCGCCGCCAATCGGCCCAATACGGGCTACTGGGAACTTGTTAGGCCGTGACCTCACGCCAGAGTGAAGTTGCGCTGCGCTTGACTGCCGCCCCCTTCCTTCCGGATCTTTGCCGACAGCTGTTACCGCGCTGGTATCCTGATGACGACTCCCGTGATTAGCTCACGCATTCGAACCCTCTCCCCCCCCTCCCTCCTCACGATAAACCCACCGAACGGATAATAGCCTCTTGCCATCCCTCCTCCCTCCTCCCTCCTCCCTCCCTCAACCATCACCGCCAGCATCATCCACCACTAGCATTCTCTCTCCACCACCATCACCACCACCACCACCACCACCACAACAACAATAACAGCACAACAGCAGCAACAGCAACAATAACAACGACGACGACAGAAACATCGGCAACAGCAGCAATCTTACCTCTCACACCTATCCTGCCGCAGCATCGCACCCCTGATCCTCGACGCGCAGCAGTCCTGCTTGTAGCAGAACTGTCGATAATCCTACGAGAGCACGAGACACGACATCATCCGAATCCGAATCGCGCCTCCCCACTCCTCCCCCTCTTTACGCGCCCGACTCGATGCGCCATACGACGATTGATTGCGACACGAACCATTTCATAATATCGCGATCCATCGATTCGCGCCAGCTGCGTCACTGCCGCACCCCCCCTGTATCGGACCCCGGCCTTCCACGCGCGGCCGTGCATTGATTACGTTCGATCCAGCATAAGACATCACCACCACCACCACCACTTATCTGCGTACTGGGACTTGCATGCCATCCGCTGCCGGAACCCCTCCCCGCAGCCCACGATGAAGGTGCGAACTGGCACAGGAGAATGTCATGGTACTCCTCCCCCTCTACCGGCGCTGACCACAGATCATCTCCTCTTCTTGCTTGCAGTATCTCCCCGTTCAGGATTTCGAGGCGGTGACGAGCGCCCTCAACTTCAACACACCCGATTGCAACGTCACGGGCGGATGCGACCTGTACACGACCAAGTCGACCGGGTCAGACAAGAAGCTGTACAGGAACATCGACAAGGACCTGAGCTCCCAGCATGCGGCCCTCCTCAAGCTGGGGGCCAGCCTGTCGCCGCCGGACCGGGAACAGATGCTGGCGACGTCGCCCAGCATGCAGCTCTTCTCGCACTCGAGCGCGTTCGGACCGCTGTCGGAGCTGTCGAGCCGGCGGACGTTTGCGTACCTGATCGCGACGCTCAACGCCAGCCACCCGCACTACGACTTCTCGCACGTGCTGCGGCCGGGCGACTTCAAGCGCGAGCGTAACCTGCGTCGCGTCATGGTGAGCCTGGACTCGATACTGCAGAACGTACGGCCCGGCTTCGAGCCGAGGTCGGCCGAGTCGTCGTCGCTGGGCAGCGACGCCAGCGCGCCGTGGGGCCCGCAGTGCTGGTCCCTGATCGACAAGGAGATGCGCCTCAACGAGTGCACCGTATTCGGGTACCACCCGGACGTCGACCCGTTCGAGGAGGACGAGAGCGCCATCTGGGCGGCGCACTACTTCTTCTTCAACCGCACCCTCAAGCGCGTGGCGTACCTGTACGTGCGGGTCGTGCCCGTCGTCTCGTCCACCGCCAGCCCGACCCTGCGGCCGACCAAGAGCAAGATGGCAGCGGCCAGCCTCGCCCGCAGCAGGGGCGGCGGCGGCGGCGGCGCCCTCGTCGACCCCTTCGGCGGCGGCCCCTGGCCGTCGTCTTCGTCGCTGCCGTCGTCGGCCCTGCTGATGTCGTCGTCTGCCAAGCGCACCGACTACTGGCTCGGCGACCGGGACGTCAGGCCCGTCGCCGCCTTTGACGACGACGAAGACGAGGGGAGCCCCCGCGACGACGGGCTGTACTGGAACCGCGGCGAGGACGGCGACCTCGTCATGTTCTCGGACGACGACGTCGTGGAAGATGACGAGCCCGAGGAGGAGGAGTTTGACGACGACGACGACGACGGCGATGTCGTGCTCGATAAGAGACGTATGAGGCTCATGAGTGAGGATATTGCAGGGCAGATGGAGATTTGAGTTCACGTGCGTCTTTCCGTCTAGCAGGTCAATCATATCTCTGACCGGAACACTTGCGTTTTTCCTTCTTCTTCTTCTCTCCTCCCAAAGATGTTTTCTTTCTCGACTCCTTCTCTTTCTGTCTCTTCATTCTTCTCGCTCTCCTCTTTTTTTTCTTTTTTCTTTCCAAAAAGAAACCCCCTTCTTTCCTTCATCTACTGCATCGACTTGTTGGATTTAAAGCGCGGCGCTAGGTTCCTTTTCGTTCTTGGTCGGTGAGAGAGGCTGGAACAGCGTCGCTATGTTTTGTTCTTTGTTTCTGTTTTATCTCTCTTCTTCTTCGTATGACTGTTGTTGTTATTGTTCTGGTATTCCTCTTTTTTTTTTTTTGGTATACACGAGTTTTATGGATACTCTTAGTTTTATCTGTACTCTTTTATGAGTAGGTGTGGTGGTATCATGTTCGGTTACATTGCTATTACTATTGTTAATGAGTATACCGGACAATTCCCTTCTTTTTTTCCAGTTTCTTACCTCGAATAGTTGCTGGCATGGCTGACACACTATACTTGGGAATGATGTATCAGGTACGGAGCAGTGAGCGTAATGTAATATATGAATTTTACTAGTATGTTCTGACATGTCATGTATTACTTCTGTATCAGCCTTCAAAGTGGGTAGATGGACGTCGTATAACCTCGACATGTAATCTGTACTGATGTACTGATATTATTGAGATATATTGACATGTATGTATTATATATGTACAGATTATATATGTAGATATTCATCATGCTTTGGAACCATCCCAAGCTGTTTGTAATGCAACAGATACGAGATGTCACGCAATAGTGATATTCCAGCCTGGAACCTAATGTATGTATATATGTTGGTTTCGTCTTTTCTTCCTTAATCTTCACCTCACAATATCACAGGTGCATTAGCTCCTTCTTTTACGAAGAGCCTTTGCGTTTGTGATGATCGATATGTTGTATTGATCTAGGATGACTCTCATCGTGATAGTTATATGTGAGTATGTTTGTCATGTCATCCTGAGGCAACAGCCTCGGTCCCGGATTATCCCCTCTTCCGGTTGCATTTGGCTGTTTGATGCAAACAGATACAAACAATATATATGTATATATATATATGTATGTATACCTTTAGGCCGCCTCTAAAACAAGTAGCACAAACTCAACCTATTTCTACGGAATCATTAGACAGATTGGATAGAACGAACGGCCGGGATCATCATACATGACTGTCGCGGCCCTTTCCTCTAAAGGGGGGGGGGGGCTGAAGCACCTACTAATACTACTACTTCTCATACTACTGGGGAAGAACCAGGTTTTTATCTGTTGGAAATGAATCAGCAGGAATTATCAATACGCCGCCTAGTCCCGACGTGTATTATTATTTTGTATCTTTACTTTGGGAGGTCCAGGTTTGTGTACTGGGAAGAACCAGTAAGGTATTATTATTACATCATAACCTCCACAGCAACTCAACCTTCACATCAATATACTCCCTCTCTCCCCCCCTCTCCCTTTTTCTCTCTCTTTCTTCTTCTACTTCCTTCATCCCATGTCGGAACACTAAGCACTACAGATATATATATAATTAGAATATAAAAATAGAATAGAAACAGAGAAAAAGGCCATCCGATCGAGGTTACAGATGTAGACAGCCCACAAAAGAAAAAAGAAAAAAAAAGACCGAGAAAAAAGGAAGGAGATAATAAAAAAGAAAAGACAAAAACGCCAGGAGAAGAAGAAAATGTAAAGAGAGTAAGAATGGCTGGCGATTGGGTATCATGTCTGAGATCAGACAGAGGAATAGACAGGATATGAAGGAAAAAGGTAATGTGGAAAAGAAGAAAAGATATGGAACCAAACCTCCCCCCCCCCCCCCCCCCCCCAAAAGAGATAAATGACATGTATTACAGATGGAATACTTTATATAAACAAATTAAGATCTGACCGTTGCGCCAAAGATCTGTTTTCTTTTGTTGATCAGGTCGTAGGGGGCAGTGTGCTACATGCTCTCCTCGAGTGATGAGGAAGATGCGTCGTGATGAATGTAGAGAGAGAGCCGTATATATATATATATATATATRTGTGTGTGTGTGTGTGTGTGTGTGTGTGGAAGGGGGGGGGGGGGGGGGAGGGGGGGGGGGGGGGGGGGAAGGGTATGGGGAGGAAAGGAGGCGACGGATGGATCGAATGAGAAGCCGGATGTCAAGGTTTTGGGTGTATGCCGAGAACG